TCATTCGCTAGTGGATATTATAAGTATGATATTAAGGCTCACTGGCGTAATTGCACTCTTCCCCTTCTCCACAGTATGCCACACCCAGTTTGTGGCAGGTGCTGGAAATTTCAAGGTATAGGATGGTACTAAAACTATACACAAGTGTCAACCTAATGCCTATCTGATGTGGGCAGACATTCTCTACAGCCAGACAGCAAAGTATATAATTGAAAACAGAGAGGTCTTTATTACTGAAAAATGCTTGAATCTATAATCAAGGAAGAAATAGCCACTTATTGGGATTGTACTATGGACCCCCCTGTAATCAGTGGAAAATTGAGAAACAAATTTGTAAGGGATTCTGCAGGGCTTGATGCTGATGCCTGTGCTGTTTGTGGTGTATATTAATGATTTGGAATTAAATGTAGAAAGTGTGATCCAGAAATTCACAAATGACATAAAAATAAGTGGTGTGGTAAATAATGACGAAGACAGCCATAAAATACAGGGAGCTATCAATGGACTTGCCAGGTGGGCAGAACAGTGGCAGATGGAATTGAACCCGGAAAAGCGTGAGATAGGGCAGAGCAGGTGCGTAACGTGGTTAGGAAGGTACATGGGATACTCTAATTTATTAGCTAAGGCACAGAAAACAAGAACAGGGAGTTTATGCTGGAGCAGTATAAAATGCTGGTTAGGCCACAACTTGAGTACTGTGCACAGTTCCGTTTACTACATTACAAGGAGGATGTGACTGCACAAGAGAGGTACAGTGAAGATTTGCATCCTGGCCTGAGGGTCTGAGCTATCAGGACTTGTCAGATGGACTTGGGTTATTTCCTTGAAGCAGCGAAAGTTGCGAAGGGACCAGTAGAGGGTATACAATTGAAAACAGTTATCTGTAAGAATAATAGAGTAGTTATGGTAGGGAATTTTAACTTTCAAAACATAGACTGGCACTGCCATAATGTTAAGGGCTTGGATGGAATTAGTTAAGCGTGTACAAGAAAATTTTCTGATTCACTATGTGGATATACCCACTAGAGAAAGTGCAAAACTTGATCTATTCTTGGGAAATAAGGCAGGGGAGGTGACTGAGATGTCAGTGGGAGAGCGCACTGGGGCCAGTGACCATAATTCTATTAGTTTTAAAACAGTGATGAAAAAGGATAGACCAGATCTAAAAGTTAAAGTTCTAAATTGGAGGAAGGCCAATTTTGATGGTATTAGGCATGAGCTTTCAAAAGTTGATTGGGGGCGGATGTTTGTAGATAAAGGGATGGCTGGAAAATGGGAAGCCTCCAAATATGAGATAATGAGAGTCCAGAGACAGTATGTTTCTGTTAGGATGAAGGGCAAGGCTGGTAGGTGCAGGGAATGCTGGATGACTAGAGAAATGGAGGTTTTGGTCAAGAATAAGAAGGAAGCATATGTCAGGTATAGACAGCAGGGATCGAGTGAATCCCTAGAAGAGTATAAAGGCAGTAGGAATATACTTAAGAGAGAAATCAGGAGGGCAGAAAGGGGACATGAGATAGCTTTGGCAAATAGGGTTAAGGAGAATCCAAAGGGATTCTACAAATGCATTAAGGATAAAAGGGTAACTAGGGAGAGAATAGGGCCACTTAAAGATTAGTGAGACCACCTACGTGTGGAACCGCAGGAAATGGGGGAGATACTGAACAAGAATTTTGCATCAGTGTTTACTGTGGGGAAGGATATGGAAGATAGAGAACGTGAGGAAATAAATAGCAACATCTTGAAGAATGTCCATGTTACAGAGGAGGAGATGCTGGACATCTTAAAATGCATAAAGGTGGATAAATTCTGGGACCTGATCAGTTGTATCCTAGAACTCTGTGGGAAGCTAGGGAAGTGATTGCTAGGCCCCTTGCTGAGATATTTGTATCATTGATATCCACAGGTGAGGTGGAAGTTGGCTAACGTGGTGCTACTATTTAAGAAAGGTGGCAAGGAAAAGTCAGGGAACTATAGACCAGTGAGCCTGACATCAGTGGTGGGCAAGTTGTTGGAGGGAATCCTGAGATGAAAGGCAAGGACTGATTAGGGATAGTCAACATGGCTTTTTGTGCGTGAAATTGTGTCTCACTAACTTTGAGTTTTTTTGACGAAGGATTGATGTGGGCAGAGCGGTGGACATGATCTATATGGACTTCAGTAAGGAGTTCAACAGGATCCTCATAGTAGACTGGTGAGCAAGGTTAGATCACCTGGAATATAGGGGCAACTTTTTCATGCAAGGGTTGGTATGTGTGTGGAATGAGCTGCCAGAGAAGGTGGTGGAGGCTGGTACAATTACAACATTTAAAAGACAGCTGGATGGGTACATGAATAGGAAGGGTTTAGAGAGATATGGGCCAAATGCTGATAAATGGGCATGAATTAATTTAGAATATCTGGTTGGTATGGATGAGTTGGACTGAAGGGTCTGTTTCCAAGCTGTACAAGTCTATGAAAATGACACATCTGGATAGAAATTTACTGGAATTCTTTGAGGACATTACGAGTGCCGTGGGCAACGGGCATCTGGCGGATGCAGTGTACTTGGATTTCTAGAAGGCACTCGACAAGGCCCTGCACAAAAGGCTGCTGCATAAGATAAAGATGCACGGTGTTACAGGTAATGTATTAGCATGGACAGAAGGTTGTTGAACTAAGAGAAAGCAATGAGTGGGGATAAATAGGTTTGTTTCTGGTTGGCGATCAGTGGCCAGTGAAGTGCCACAGGGATCAGCATTGGGACTGCAATTGTTTACAATTTACATGCATGAAATAGCATTGAGGACCATGTGTAGTATGTCAAAATTCGCAGATGACACTGAGTAGTGGTAGAGCAAAGTGTGCAGATGACACTGAGAGTCTGCAGAGGGATACAGATAGGTTAAGTAAGTAGTGAGCAAGGGTCTGGCAGATGAATTAAACTATTGGTAAATTGAGTTCATCTATTTTGGTAGGAATAACAGCAAAATGAACTATTATTTAAATGGTAAAGAACTGAAGCATGCTACTGTGCAGAGGGACCTGAGTGTCTTTGCGCATGAATCACAAAAAGTTGGTTTGTAGGTGCAGCAGGTAATTAAGGCAAATAGAATATTGTCCTTCATTGCTAGAGGGATGAAGTTTAAAAATAGCGAGGTTATGCTGCAGCTGTTTAGGGTGCTGGTGAGGCCACACCTGGAGTCCTGTGTACAGGTTTGGCCTCCTTACTTGAGAAGGGTTGTACTGGCATGGAATGGGTGCAGAAGAGATTCACTAGGTTGATTCCAGATTTGAGAGTGTTGGCTTATGAGGAGAGATTGAGAAGACTGGGACTATACTTCTTGGAGATAGTAAGAACTGCAGATGCTGGAGTCAGAGTCAATACAGTGTGGAGCTGGAGGAACACAGCAGGTCAGGCAGCATCAGAGGAGCAGGACTGATGAAGGGTCCCAACCCGAAATGTCAACTTTCTTGCACCTCTGATGCTGCCTGACCTGTTGTGTCCCTCCAGCTCCACACTGTATTGACTATACTTTTTGGAATTTAGAAGAATAAGGGAGGATCTTCTAGAAACATAGAAGCCTATGAAAGGAATAAATAAGAAGCAGGGAGATTGTTTCCACTGGTGGATGAAACTTGAACTAGGGGCTATCGACTCAAAATAAGAGGGAGCAGATTTAGGACTGAGTTGAGAAGGAACTTTTTCACCCAAAGATGGTGAATCTGTGGAATTCCCTGCCCAATGAAGCAGTTGAAGCTACCTCTTTGAATGTAGTCCCGGGCCTTGGAATGTTCCAATCTGCAACACTTAATTGAGGACAACTCTTTACACTGGAAGACCAACAAGTTTCAGGGAGACCAAAGAGCATCTTTCACCTCGTTGATGGTCTTCCAGTTAATGTTTGTCTCACTGTGCATCCCAGGGACTTTACAGAAGGAGATGTGTGACAGTCCCTTCCCCCCAATGCTGCTTTGTGGGCAGCATGCAGTGGCACAGAGAGACTGGGTGTGCATGAAGGATCTGACAGGTAGTGCCCTTTTCACCACAAGCCAAGCTATGACTTGGTGCTTGTTGGAATGTTCTGTTGATGAGGCATTCTGCCAAATAGCTTTGACAGTCTGCTCAGGGAGACACCCTACAGGATCAACCCTCTCCTTTGCCCGCAGGGTTTCAGGACACTACCTGCTGACTACTGCCTGATGGTCTTGTGGTCAAGGGTGTTTTCCTTTACAAATTTCTCACAAGGGACAGATGGTACAGAATTGTACAACCACTTGGAGAGTTTTGAGGCAATGACACTAGGCCCATCCTTTCAATTGCTTCTTTTTAAACTTTGGTATGAGAGTTTGCAATTTAAAAATGACTTGAGCTTCATCCACCACTGTGACAATGTGTCTTAGCTTGAAAATCACTCTGTTACTCTTACCTAGTAATTCAAATCTTTAAATCTAAGTAATTTTCCCCATCCGTTCAGCTTAATTGGAGGATTTTAGATTAATCATCAAGTCCCTCCAAATTTCTCAGGTTTTTTTCTACGTTGGAATTCAAATCACCTAAAATGTTTGTCACTAAATCCCAATTAGCAACATCCGAAATTGGAATAATTAAAATATGGTTTGAGAACTGCAGCATGAACCAGAATCCTCAAATCCTAAAACTTTATAGCACGTTTTTAACCCCAAAGTGGAAGGACTCTTCTCATTTCATATGGTTGATATTAGGCTGACTTCTGCTGCAAATACAGAGGAAAAAAAAAATTTCAAATGCTGAGAAAGACAGCAGTAGCAGAGTCGCGACATGAAACCGATGATAGGTCAGATGTCATGTTAATTTTTTTTGGAACTATATGCTAGGAAGAAAATAAAAATTTGAAAACACTACTTAATGGTGCATTGAAGTTTGAAATAGAAAGTATTTTGCATCGTTAATATATTTACAATAACTTTTGCTGTTGAACATTTGTTTAAAGTAGCGAGATTAATTGCATTTTGTTCTTTCTTTGATATTCTATCTTCAGTTCTCATTTATGAACCTGAAAATCCAGAGGCCCAACAGTTCAAAATACTTCTAGACACGAAAATACAGTTAGGTAAGCTGGGTGAAAATTGTTTGACATCTTTTTCCTAGTAGGTCTGAATTGCATCATTTTGTGATAAGCACTGCAGTGTGTGAAAATCTGTACAAAAGCATACTTTTTTTCTGATAATGATTTTTCATCTGTAAAATCACTACTTGAGATGTTTGTGTTTTTGCTTGTATAAAGTGCCTTGAAAGAAAGTAATTTACATTTTTATGAGGAAAGAATTATTTGATAAGTTTTTGTATATTTTAATTAGTTTTCAAAAACTATTACATTATGTTTCGTTGTGTAGAATTCATTCCTGGCTACTAAACACTAAAAGTAACTTTTCAGTTCTAAACTATCACACCATTCTTGCAATCTGGTTATTTCAGTTTATTCTTTTAAAAGAAAGCTCATCGAATTTAGAAATAGTCTCCCATAATGTTAAATCAGATGTTTTAGAAAGGATAAATGTTCACAAAAAATTGCATGTTCTGTCTAGAAGAATAGAATTAAATTCCTCCAAAATAATGTGATAGATCAAGACCTATATGGTTCAACTTAAGATTATTGCTCCCATATTTGGAAAGTGTTCTGCTCTTAATAAGTGGGATAGAGTCTGAATCAGTTGTTAGATGAGATCATTTCATGCAATACAATAACTTGTGTAATCCTGTCAATTAAATTGTTTAATTTTTAAAATCCTTTCTAAAGTGTGACCTGAATGGTATTTTATACGTGTCCTAACAAAATGTTGGAAAATTGGAATGCGAGCTTTTTTTAATTCCTATTTGTGAAAATTATGATCTGGCCTCTGTGACTCTCAATCTACAGGAATGTGGTTGACTTTTATTTGTCCTCTGACGTGGCCTATCAATCTCCTCCTTTGTATCAGGTTGCTAGGAAAAACTAAAATAACATTACAATATATGGACCACCTTGCACTGACCTAGACACAAACACGACAAAGCCACATTTGCCTGGTCAACCCCACAGCCCCTTCTCACTTGCATCTGGGGATTTATGCCAAAATATAGGTTAGTCAGACAACAGCTGATATAGTCATACTCAATGTTCCATCTAATTGTTTTCTGTGCTGCACAGACATTCGAGGTCTGTGTGCAGCAGTGGTTTGGAGCGACGTCGGCACACCAGTCACATGCACGGAACATCTGAGAGATTGCGCAACTGTGCAGCTTGGAGGGCACATAGTCATATTCAAAGGTTCATAGTCTCAGTCTGGACTCTTCCATAACCACCCTTCGTTATGCCCTGTCTCACTGACAAGACAGATCAACCAGATTGCATTGACTCAATGGTATACCGTTGGGAGTGACTCTGCCTGTCCCGAATGCTGATTCCAAACAAGGAAGCCTTTTATTATTACCACTTACTACTCTTCATCAACTCCATTGCCTGATGAACAAACATGCTACCGCCATCCATTGTAGAACTAGAATCCCCACAGTGTGGAAACAGGCTATTCAGCCTAACAAGTCTGCACTGACTCTCTGAAAAGCATGTCATCTACGCTCACCACCAACACCTCCCCCCCTGCCCACCCTATAACCCTGCATTTCCCATGGCTAATCCATCTAACCTACACAACTCTGGAGATTATGGGCAATTTGGCATGGCCAATTCACCTGGCCTGCACATCTTTGGACTGTGGAAGGAAACTGGAGCACCCAGAGGAAACCCATGGAGACACAGAGAGAATGTGCAAACTCCACACAGACAGATGCCCAAGGCTGGAATTGAACCGGGGTCCCTGGTGCTGTGAAGCAGCAGTGCTAATCACTGAGCCACTGTGCTGCCCGAAAACGTCTGGAGAAAACATTGAAAGTAGAAAAGTCCGGGGTCACAGTCTAGGGATATGCAGTGGGCCATTCGAACTGAGATGGGGAGGAATTTCTTTGCTCAAAGGGTGGTGAACCTGTGAAATTCCCTACTACAGAAGGGTGTGAAAACCGAATCACTGAATGTATTTAAGAAATAACCAAATAGGTATGAGAGGCTAAAGGCATCAAGGACATGGAGAAAGTGCAGGAAATAGAGTAATTGTGGAAAGGTGGTGTTGTTTTAAAGGACCAGCCATGATCATTTTGAATGCTGGAGCAGGTCTCAAGGGCCACATGGCCTGCTGCTGTTCCTATTTTCTGTGTTTCTACAGAGTATAATCTATGTCGGGCTATCAGTGTCCAAAAATAAGATTTTCTTTGGTAGCACCAATACTGACAAGACTCAGCCTGCAGCAAGTGGCAAGAAAACCATGAGGGAACTTTCTTCACCTTGTCCTAATCAATCCATCCATCACAGTGCAAAGTATCCATGAAGACATTGGTAGGAATGACCAATGAGCAATCTTGGAAAAATCCTCTACGTTTTGTGGCACTATCTGTGCCAAATAGGATAGACTTAGAACAGATCTAGCAGCTGAAAACTGGGAATCACTAAGGCACTATAGATGATCCACAGAATTGAATTCCAACATTGTCTGCTGTCTCCAGCAGATTCTTCACTTTACCAGTACCCTCAAGCCAGGAGATCTATCTTGGTTCAGTGAGGAGTGTAGAATAGCATGCCAGGAGCTGTTATCAGTTGTACCTAAACAGGAAGTCAAGCAAAGCTACAATACTTACGCATGGAAGAGCAGCAACAATATCATGAAAGCTAAACCATCCCACAAGCAATGGATCAGATCAAAACTCAGCAGTGCTTCTGTAGTTATGAATGGTGGTGAACAATTAAGCAGCTAATTTCATCCCCATCCTCCATGATGGCAGAGCCCAGCATATAAGTGCAAAAGACATTTTGAAGTAGTAACAATCACCTTCGTTTGCAATTGCCAAATGATCTCAACTACCTCATTAAGGTCCTCATGATTACAGAAACCAATGCTGAACCAACTGAATTCACTCTGTGAGTCAATAAACATCCTGAGACCAATTTTGGGTATTCGATTCCAAATTCATTCATGTGTTTAGTGTCAGCAATCTCATCAACCTTACAGATCAGTCTGAGTTTTTGACACGCCTTTCTACCTTATAGAGAACATTTTTGATTCTGTATGATAGAGAACCTCAAGGATTTCATGGTCTTTATATTTGAGTTTGTTCACATGCTGGCCTTTAACTTTTACTGAGGTTCCTTTAGGTCCTTGTAATTTGGTAGATAATGCAATTTAATTTGTGCAAGTCATTTCAGGTGATCTGATAATACTGACACTCTAAAAGTTTATGGGGCTGCCCATCTACCTCCAGTTTAAAACTCCAATATTTGTTCTCAGTATTGTTTATTTCTCCTAGGAAGGATTTGATCTGATCTTGCAGTTTTCACCTCTTGAATATGGCATTGCTTTAAGATTTCTCTCTTTGTCTTCTGGTTGTCTTCATTTTAAAACAATGAACAAGACTGTTTTAAAAAGACTTATTTTTCCACAGTTGTAGTAGTCTGCTCCCCTGCTGGAAGTTCTTCACATTTTTGTGGCTTGTTCCCACCATACTGGATACATTTTGAAACAGTAGTCAGTATGTTTGTTCCCATTTTGATAAGCTGAGGTCTTTGTGCACCATCTCCCTCTTATTTACAACCTGAATTGCTCATTATTATCTTTCTCTGGAGCAAAAACTTGAATCTGTTTCCTCAGTTTGTTTGCCTCACAATTTGGAGTGCTTTCTCCAGAGTTTAAATGCCCTTTGTCTACAAAAAAATCTAATAGGATTTCATCTGAAACTCAAACTATGATCAGATTGTGAATTAATTCTGCCTTCAACCTTTCATAAGTATTCTTCTTAGCCAACCTACAGAAATTATTAATTAGTGAATCCATGCTTTCATCTGGCCTTTGCTTTCATCTGTTTACCTTTGACTTTTCAATAATTAAATTCTGACGAGCACTATGAGTTGAATGCCTGTAGTACCTCTTCATGGGAAACTGTAATCTCATTAAGGCCCTGCCGTGCTAGTGCATTGTTAATGAAAATGTCCCAGCATAAAGTAACGTACTGACCTGGCCATTTAGGCCTTTCTTATCCAAGCTTGAAGCAGGTCTGGTCCTTTGATTGTCTGGAATATTTCAGAAAATGATAGGTTAGCTTCCAGGCTTCTTCTGAACCATGGACCTGTTCCTGCAACTATTACAGTCTGCCTTACTGCTCAAGGTTTCAGGTCCTTTGCTCATTGCTGTCCAGTCTCCACGTCTGTTTTTTCACAGCTTGCTGCCGATGCTCCTTGATATCTTGGTGATTCTTCAGCACCTTTCCAGTTTTACATTATAAACTCCCTGGTCTGAGATTCTGTTCAACTGCTCGCTTTGTTGATTGTTTTTGCCTTTCCCACTGCCACAGTGTTTTATTGTATATTCTACTTCTGTGATTTTTTTTTTGTTAGTTTCCCAGAGGTAAGGTGTTTGAGTCCATGGTCTTTTGTGTGCAACAATTCTTTATTAACAGCTGGAGCTCACAAATATTCCCTTCACAGAGAATCTGCTCCCTTCCTAATCTCTAGACCTTCTCATTTAACACAGATATCGTCATTACCACATCATGTATATTTCTGTTACTAAACCCATTACTGTACAAATCTAGCACAGAGGAAAATGGTTGTAGATTTTAGAAAACAATCAGTACCAACAATATTCTCAAGGGTGATGAGACTTGGTCAATAAATGCTGTCTTCACCAGCAACATGTCCATCCCAGGAACAAATCTGTATTCCAATTCCAAACTGTAGCCTGATATTATTAGTAATGCAATGGTATAGGGCCATTTGGTCAAATTAACAGGAGGCTTTACATCTTAAGTTTTACGACACTAACACTTAAGTTATGATTTTGTGAGACTTTTGGTTTTCTAAACATCTTGTTCAGCGATGTTCTAACATACCTCTGGAGCAGGTGGGACTTGAACCTGCACTTCCTGGTTCAGAGATAAGGACTGTGCCACTGCACCACAACAGCCTTCTTGATTTTGAGAGATTAAATATTGGGTGAAGCGTAAAACAGGTGGTTGATTAAGTCCCATCAG